CTCCAGACCCAGCTTTAGGAAAACTCGTAATCCGGTCACTGGTGACCTGTGTACCTTCTTTACTCCTGGATGGTGGAATTCGCAAACATTTAAAGAACTCAAGTTCTGTGAGGCCCTACCTAGATGGCCAAGCTTTTCAGTCTGAAGGGTTTTCTCACAGTGGGCTCTCCATTGCTGGTGTGGCTAAGGCCAGGGTCCCAGACCGGTACCGAAAGGGCAGTAGTCACCGCTTCACACATTTGCTTCTCACAGAGTCACTTCAGTTGCTTCCCTCTTTCATGTTCTAACCCTTTAGTTCAGTCCTCCTAGGTGTTGGGACTTCAGAGCAACCACCTGTGTAGTTTGTGCTCCACGTTAGCAAGCAGCCGCGTGTGTGTGTTAACTCGAAACCATGAACACCTTAGACCCTTTGCTAGGTAGGATCATACGGGGGTTTCCCACCACCGCCCCCTTAAAAAAACGTATCCAGTGAAAGTGAGGTATTTATGTCAATGCTTCTCCACAGCTTGGTCCTGCAATTCTCACCTCTGGCTTTACTGGCATGTTCCCAGATAACCCAGAAGATGGTGGTGGTTAGATGGCGGCGGCGGCTTTAGTCCACTAACCCTTTGAACGTTTCTCTGCCCTTGAACCGTTCTGGTAAGGGGAAGAGGGTGTTTTTGTCCTTAGCTGTTTATAAATTGGGCTTAATGATGGAAGAATAATTGGGGGAAGTGGCCTAGGGAATGAGCATAATTTGAAAAGGCATTTAATTTGCTTATTTCCACAATGCAAATCACAGAGTGTAAAGTTCCAACATACTCTCGGGTGGAGGCAAGATGCAGAAGATAGAACCGGAACGTGCTCTCGTGTAAAACCCCTGAAAGGCCCATTAGGTCTCGAGTGTGTCCAGGGCCCCGCGGATTTCCTAGCTCGTTGGCGTCTTCAGTATTTCCACATGCCCTTTCCGGTCTCTTCCACCTGTAATCTGTAGTTAGCCACAGTTGACATGTTTGTGGAAAACATCTTAATTTGTGTTTTAGGTGATTGGGAAATATCAGCCGTAAGATATGTGTTTGTGAAATGAACTAGACCTGGACAGTGAAATCCTAATGTCAGACTGGCCGTCTTGGCCTTGCACATTGCTGAAGGGAGTCCTCTGCTTGGCCCTTTTCCTCCTTTCCTGCGCTGCTCTTCATTCATACCCTCAGGTGTAGGGTTGAGCCTGCTGTTGGCACTCAAGTAGTGGCTCTCCGTGGTTTTCCTGAAATAATCCAGAAGACAGTGGTAACGTATTTCAGGCCAAGAGTGCTACTGATTTTCAGCCCTTCTCAGGGTACGATGGCATGGGTTGGCAGGTCATGTTCAGCCTCCCACAGAAGTGAAGCTCCTGGGATCTGCTGTCTCTCGGATTCTTAAGCAGAAGCCCTCAGGTCTGGGGCGCCTGGCTGGCTCAGTCGGTAGAGCGTGTGACTCTTGATCTCAGAGCTGAGAGTTCAAGCCCCATACTGGGTGTAGAAATATCTTAATAAAAGAAGCCCTCAGATCTTTCTAGACTGGGAAATCAAAAATTATGAATGCCTTAATTCCTTGATTTTAGGTGTGTATTGATTTTCCATCCACTCTTGATGAAGCCTGTTGCCATTTCTTAAGACGCCTGCTAGAGTCTTTTACGTAGGGTAAATACAGAATTCCTTTGAATTTTTCCAGATACTCTCCCTCAGTTTTCCAGTTTTCCCCACACCTAATTTGACAAGAATTTTTTAGAGTGAAATCGGTAGAAATTGAATACAGACCTAATAGCCTACTAGCAGTGGGCGTCAGTCAGTATGAAATCTAGCAAGTGGTTAAAGTTTGCTTAAGACTTGCTAACGTACTCCAGATTCCAATGTAAGAATTACTTTTAAAAACACATTTCCTGAGCAGAGGACAGGAACAAGACATTTCTGTAAAGAAGACATCCAGATGGCCAACAGACACATGAAAAAGTGCTCCACATCACTCGGCATCAGGGAGATACACATCAAAACCACAGTGAGATCCCACCTCACACCAGTCAGAATGGCTAAAATTAACAAGTCAGGAAACGACAGATGCTGGCGAGGATGCGGACAAAGGGGAACCCTCCTACACTCTTGGTGGGAATGCAAGCTGGTGCAGCCACTCTGGAAAACAGCATGGAGGTTCCTCAAAAAGTTGAAAATAGAGCTACTCTGTGACCCAGCAATCGCACTACTGGGTATTTACCCTAAAGATACAAATGTAGTGATCCAAAGGGGCACGTGCACCCTAATGTTTAAAGCAGCAGTGTCCACAAGAGCCAAACTATGGAAAGAACCTAGATGTCCATCAACAGATGAATGGATAAAGAAGATGTGGTGTGTGTATGTATGTGTGTGTGTGTGTGTATATATATATATATATATATACACACACACACAATGGAATACTATGCAGCCATCAAAAGAAATGAAATCTTGCCATTTGCGATGACGTGGATGGAACTAGAGGGTATCTTGCTTAGCGAAATAAGTCAATTGGAGAAAGACAATTATCATATGAGCTCCCTGATAGGAGGAAGTTGAGAGGCAGGATGGGGGTAGGGAAGGAATAAATGAAAAACAGATGGGATCGGGAGGGAGAAAAACCCTAGGAGACTCTTAATCTCATAAAACAAACAGGGTTGGGGGGAGGGGGTAAGGACATTGGGGAGGGTATGTGCTATGGTGAGTGCTATGAAGTGTGTAAACCTGGCGATAAACAGACCGGTACCCCTGGGGCTAGTAATACATTATATGTTAATAAAAAAATAAATTTGGAAACAAAGGATTAAAAAATAAAAATAATAAAAAAGGGGAAATAACACATTTCCTTCAACGGAGGAATCAGATACCATAGGAGGAGAAAATTTTTTCAGAACTGGAGAGTTTTAAGCAAGAGATGAGACTCCGGTAACATTAGGCGAGGGGTCAAGCATCAATTATGTATCAGTTGCCAGGGATACAGAAGTCAGTTTCTTACCTCAGCATAGTCTGGTGGAGGAAGCAGAGATGCAGGCGGGTGGCCTGAGGTCGGGCACACCTCCATCACTAGTGACCTATTTTCTGGATGCCTTGAGCCATCTTCTAGTGGAGGCTTTCCCCTTCGCCCTCCATCTGTCTCCATTGCTGATGTTTCTAAATACGATTAAGATCTTCTAAAGGCATTTAGGCACTACTAACCTGGCCTTGTTTCTCACCATTTCTTGACACACCCGCTAAGAAATGGGATTGTTCGTAGACTTCGGTCTTCTCAGTTTCTGAGGGGGAAAAAAAAATCAACAGTTTCCTCATCTGAAATGAAAAGGGAGCCCCCAGATGCATTAGTGTTCAGTGGGGAATTAGAGCAGGGACGTGTCATTCAGCAGGCCTGTGCTTCCAGATGAGTAAGTCTCAGATCCAAGGACAGTGTAGAGGAGCAAAAAGGAGGGACAGATGGGTTCTGGCCTCTGGGTTTAGATTTGCCAAGAGGCAAAGTGTCCCATGTCGGTGAGTTCACACTGTACTGTGTGGGAGGTACCCGGGGTGCTGACTTAGGGCTGTGGTTTTCGAGCTGGAGGTACACAAGGTTACCGAGGCAGTTTTTAATACTTGTTTGGCTAAGGGATTCAGTGGCTCCTACGAAATGTAAGTATTAACATAAATTAACCAGTGCCGAGGAAGAGCTGCTGTCAGACTCAGTACGGGAAGCTGGAAAGCGTATGACACCCGGAGTAAAGGGATGCTCCCACAGAAGTTGCTAGTGCTCCCTACAGCCGCGGTGGGCTGGGGGGTTGGGTATTGGGTTTCTGTAGTCTGGGATAGAAAAGGATGTTACAGATTTTCCTTTTTTTTTAAGATTTTAAAAATTTGACACAGGGAGAGATCACAAGTAGGCAGAGAGGCAGGGGAAAGCAGGCTCCCTGCGGAGATCATGACCTGAGCCCAAGGCAGAGGCTTAACCCACTGAGCCACCCAGGCGCCCCCAAGATTTTCCTCTTAAATGGCTAAATTACCAGACTTTATATCCAGCTTAAAGCCTCACAGGGAAAGATGGAGTTACTCATGAACATTGTTGCTTAATCCCCTCCCTCCCCCGGCAGTCCAGAATCAGGGCCTGGTTCAAGGTACTTGAATTTTAACCTTTGTCCCAAAGGCACTTCGGGGTGTGATCAGGACGCACGTGAGGCAGGCCCACTCTCACCCACGGGGACAGTACTTGGTGCTTTGTGTTCCAGAAGCACTGGTGCAGCAGCGGCCAGATGGCAGGTCCCAGAAAAGCACGATTCCACAATCCCACGAAACTCAGCGTTTAATCAAAGAGCCGGAGGGCGGGAAAGGTGGGAGAGCGCTGCTTCCTTCCCTGGTGGCTTGGGCTTCTGACGAGACAGCCTCGCCATTAGTGCGGACCGCGCTCCTACCCCTTGGGTGCCGTCCATCCCTCTAATACAAAGGCTTTCCCCAAGTATGTTTTGACCAGATGTCACAGGAAAAAAGTAGTGGTAACAAAGGGTAGTATCTTTGGTCCCACACGCCCAGAGTGAGCTGCTGCTTCCTGCCACGTCTGCATAAACATCGCCAACATCCGCGAGGGGCCCGTGTGCCCAGCACTGCTCGATGGACATGGAGCAGCTGACTCTTCCCAGCGTCCTTGTAGGTGGTGTTTTGCGTCTCACTTACGCCTTAGATGGACGAGACACGCGGCGCCTGGGAGGGCTCAGTCCATTAAGCCTCTGCCTTCGGCTCAGGTCACGATCCTGGGGTCCCGGGATCGAGTCTCACGTCAGGCTCCCTGCTCAGGGGGGAGTCTGCGTCTGCCTCTGACGCTGCCCTCACTTGCTCTCCTCTCTCACTCGAGTAAATAAAAATCTTCAAAAAGAAGAACAACAGTGGGGCACAGATAACTTGCTCGGAGATACACGGTAGAGGAGCCTAGCTCGGGTCCAGGCAGTCTGAGGGTCAGAGCTCGTGGCCCAAGTGCGGGCGGCCCTGGACTCGGAGGTACTAAGAAACGCCACTATCCGTGTCTCTGAGGTGCTGGAGCAGGGTGCCGGGCGTCTGACAGGTTGCAGAAAAAGAAAGAACTTTATTGCCCCGGGAAACCCGTGTAGCTAATCTAGTGCCTGAGCCTCCCGAGCTGGAGTTTCCCGGCGCCAAATCGCTCAGGAAACGTGGGGTGAGGTCGGGGGTCCTCGTCCCCTCCGGAGCCCGCGGAGGGAGTCGGTGGCGCCCCAGCCGCGGCCGCAGGGCCGGGAGCCGCGCCGGTGGGGAGGACCGGACGCCCCAACCCCGCCACGTCTTGCGCGCGGAGGCCCCGCGGCAGAGCTCAGACCCCGCAAGCGGTTCTCGCCGGACAGAAACCGGCGACCACGGGCCTCTGTCGCCCCGTTCGGAGGCGCCTGCCCAGGCCCGAGCTCGCCCCGGGCCCCGCCGACCCGAAGCCGCGGTTGTCGCCTGGGCTGGGGTCGGCGCCGCGGCCGGAGGGTCCGCCGGGGCCGCGCTGCCACCGAGGCTGCGGAGGGGCCGAGGCGCGGCGGAGACGGGACCCTCCCGCCGTGTCCTCGCGACCAGCGGGCTTCGACCCGCGCCTCGTGCGAGGGTCGCCCCGGCTGGGCGGGGGGGCGTCCGGGGCGGGGGGCGCCTCTGCGGCTGCGGGCGGCCGCGGGCCGGGACGGAGCCGGCGGGGATGGAGGCCGCGCGCCCCGCGCCCCGTGGAGCCGCCGTGTCGGCGCCGCGGACGCCGGGTCGGAGAAGCAGCCCGGCCGCGTCGGTCCCGGGTTCTTCCCGGACGAGGTCAGCGCGCGACCCGAGACGCTGCCGCGCGGCCGGTCCCCGGGGGACACTCTGCGTCCCCGTCGCAGACGGCTCTGTCCGCGCCCCCGCCGGTCCGGACGGTGAGCCGCGCCGCGTCACCGAGGGGTCCCAGCCGCGGCCGCCGGCTACCGGGCAGCTCCGGCGTCGCCCCCAGACGACACGTGCCTCCCCGGTCCCGGCTTCACGACGAGGGGCAAGTGACCTGCCGGACGGCAACTTCCTCCCCTACTTCTTGCTTCCGGCCAGGGGACCCCAGAGTAACCCGAAGCCACATAACGCGTATTTCCTGGGGCACCGGGGGCTCAGTCCGGTTAAGCCTCTGACTCTTGATTTCCGCTCCGGCCATGGTCTCAGGGTCGTGGGATCGAGCCCTGCCTCGGGCTCCGCGCTCCAGGTGACGTGGGCTTGAGACTCTCTCTCCCCTCCCTCTGCCCCTCCCCCCTTCCCTCTCTCTAAATAAGTAGAATCTTAAAAAGAAAAATAAATAAAAGTTTAATGGGTTTGTCCTTCTGTCACAGGGGGTGTATTCCCCTCCTCAGACCATGAATTTCTAAACCCACAGGGCCCAGAGTTGCAGGGATGAGAAACCCAAAATCTCCAAGTCGGCCCTTGGTTTCCAAAAGGTCAGGGTCCGTCCATGCTGTCACCCGGTGCTGTCACCCGTAACTCAGCAGCTCCGATGACAAACACCGTCTTCGCTTCTGTGGGTCAAGGACACAGGTGCAGGCCCGCGAGGAGCTTGAGGCTCGAGGTCTGTCCTGAGGGCTTCGAGGCTCTTGACAGGCTGCAGCCTCATTTTAAGGCTCATGGGGAGTCCGTCCCCTCCCGAGGCCACTCTTGGTTGTTGGTAGGCCTCCGTCCCCTCGTCACTGGGCCTCCCCATTACGGCCACTGGCTTCAAAGCAATCAGGCCAGCAGGAAGCCCAGACAGAAACCACAGTCTTCCTGTACCGTCGTCCTGGAAGCGACAGCCCGTCACGGCTGCCGTGTTCTCTTTCTCAGGAGCCAGTCCCCAAGTACACACGCGGGTGGAGGTGACACGAGGTCGCAAACGACAGGAGGCCGGGGCCCTCAGGGATCTAGGAGCTTCCTGCCACACGGTCACGGCGCCTCTCCGGATGGCATGTAGTGTTTGCAGTCCCGTTTCCGAGCTCCGACCAGGCAGCCGAACCCCCGTGGTGTCCAGTCTCTCCTGGGGCCGCCTGTGCCCGACCCCCCGTGCAGTAAGGGACCAGATGCCGGAAAGCGCCTGCTGGGACCATTTCCCGTCATCACCGTCGTGCGGGGCCACCCCGGCCTCACGGCAGCAGCCCTCCCACCGCCGCCGGACGACAGAACCAGACGGAGCTCTGTCCTCCCCCAGCTGCCCCGGGGCGAGACTAGGGAAAAGCGCTGCTGTGCTGTGCGCGGCCGCCGTGGGCCCGGGCCGCCCGCTTGGCCCCTCAGGCCCACGTGAGCACATCGGGGTGCAGCCCGGGTGTCGCCATGGGGCGCTGCGGGGCTGCGCAAACTCAGCACCCCGAGGGGCCGCAGAGACAGGCAGCTCGGCCGTGTGCTCGCTTCCGCTGCCAAGGTCGGGGCTCGGCCGCTCGCTTGGGGACTCCACCGCGGACGGCCCTGGCCGTGGTTCTGCTCCCGGAGCTCGGCACCCGGCAAGCGGCCCCTTCGCCCGCCGGCGCCCCTGGAACCGGGAGCCCCCCTGGCTGGAGCTGAGCCCCGGGCTGGGAGGCCGCACCCGCTCCAGAAGCTGCTCCCAGCGGGCGCGCCGTCGAGGCCCGGCCGGGCCAGGCTGGGATCCGGGAGGCCAGTCCCGGGCGCCGCAAAGAGCAGCGACGAGAGGCGGGAGGCGGGAGGCGCGGTACCGTCCTTGGCAGCGGCCCCGGACCGCTGGGCCCCCCACGGCTGCCCCGGTGCGGTCGGTGCACCCCACCCGCTCGGACCAACACCACCCGGGCCATGGCCGCAGCCGTCCTGGAATGTCCACCGTGGTCTTCGGGGTGGCTTCTGCAGAGGCCGGAGGGGCGCCTGGAATGGGGAGGTTCGAGGAACCACCACCCCCAGCCCTTCAGGCTTCTAAGGAGAGCATCAGTCAGGGCTGTTGCCGCCTCCCCACGAGGTACTGACTGTGATGGCCCGGAGGAGGCAGCTCAGCCTTTCCCACCGCGAGGGCGCGTCCCCCAGCCCCCGGCTAGAGTCCCGCCAGCCTGCCAGGGCGTCCGTCCTGGTCCCACACTCGAGCCACGGGTGGACCCCGTGGCCTCTCCGTGCCCCCAGCTCTAACAGCGCCCGTGCTAACACCTGCAGCCCAGCAGCCGAATCCCGGGTCGAGCTCGTCAAAGTGGGTCTCCCCAGCGTCGGGCCACTTGACTGAGCGAGTGGCCCTGGGTCCCTCCTGGCAGTCATCACCGCGGTTTTCGGCCCCTCCTCCCGCTGACTTCTTCCAGTTGGCAGCATTCCAGGTCGGGAAACTGAGCAAAGAGACGGTGACTTCACATGGACACAGCGGCCACTGATGGCCGCTCGTAGAAGCGTCCACACTGGTTTGCTTGTGGACACCGAGCGATCTTTGTGGCCTGCCCGGCTCTCCTGGGAACGCTGTGCTCTAGTAACCGCCTCTGTTCTGCGGGGATCGAACCAGCTGCCGCTCCGCTCTTGCCGCTCATGATGGTAATTTTTTCCACCAGTTTGGGACCGTGGCACACGACTAGCTGACCTCTTGTTCCATTAAGCACTTTGCTCGCTGCCCTGGGAGGCCAGTTCCAATAACCGCATCTCCCACCGTCAGCCCCGGCCTCCAGAGGACAGGACGGCCGCCCCTGAGCTTCCCATTGATGCCACAACACTTCCATGCAGTCCTTACTTTGTCCCTTTGGTGAAACGAGTGTCCTCCAAGCTCACCCACAGAGCGTACCCAAGGGCTGAGTTTTCTGCCCTTGTCCAGGAAATCCAGTCTGCAGTGCCCACGTCTCTAATCCTTCTGTTCCCTTCTTCCATTTGTTCCAGAATTTCTACTTTATTTAATGTGGGCTGTCCCTTTCCCCTGGGTTCCCAGAGCCATCACAGGAGCAGGCAAAGATGACCTCTAGGTTTGAGACTCAAACAGCCGAAAGGAAGGGGCTGCCATTAAAAGAAATGGGGAAGACAGTTGGTGGGACACGTGTGAAGGAGTCGAGTAGAGTTCGGTCTTGGACATGTCACGTGTAAATGGTTATTAGCTAAATGGAGATGCCACGTAGGCAGCTGGTGCGTTCATCTGGAGTCCGGGGACAGATCTGGGCTGGAGGCAGATGGATGCCATCATCCTATGGACGGTAATTTCAACGATGCAACTAAATGAGATCGACAGGGAGATGGGTGTGGAGAACAGAAGAGATTCAAAGACTAAGCCAGGATGCTCTAGTGTTAAGAATCTAGGAAGAGGCAAAAGGAACTGAGGGAGTGACCAGTGAGCTTAGAGAAAGTCAAGGAAAAAAATGCCTCCAGGGCAGAGGGCTCCATGGTTCCCAGTGCCACAGGTACAGGGTTGATGGAGCATGAAGTAAAGGAACCAGAGAGAGCAGACACAGACAAGTCTTTTCCAAGAGATTTTTGCTTATCTCTTGTGTGGTGGGAAACAGTGGGTCCAAGAGGGGGTTTTAAGACGGGAGGAAATACCGTGTCTATGCACTGCTGGGAAAGAGCTGGCAGAGAGGGGAAGGAAAGCTGATGTCCGGGGCGGGGGAGGGGGGGGAGGACTGCTAAGCAAAGGCCTGGGGGCAGGGGGGGCAGTGACAGAGGATGGCGTTTGGCGCCCGAGTGTGAGGGCAGCTTTGGAAAAAGTGTTCAGCGGGTCAAGGGCTCACCTACAGGCGCGGGAGAGGAGGCGAAGACTTCGGGTGACGCGCTTCGCAGACTCTCACCACGGCTTCAGTTTTCTACACTGACTGAGGACAGGGAAGAAGTGTCTTGAGGTTTGAGCTGGGAGCTTTTGTGGCCTGGATGAGCTCCCACCTGAAGTCTGCAGTCCAGCGGGACTAGTCACCAGGCTGTGTTTCTCTCGGGCACACACAGCTGCAGGAGGCGAGCGGGCCTCGGGCCAGCACTCGGCCAAGCAAGCAGCAAGGACGACCCAGCAGCGGCCCCGGGAGCTGAGCAGCCGGCAGGGGACTCAGGTGTCATGCTGGTCAGTGCTGCTCGTCCTACGACCTGCAGACATCACACCCCGGGTTTGTGAGGTTCGCAGCGATCATGGCTGAGTCATGCACGGTTTGCAAAGAGGGCTGGAGCCACATGCTTCTATTGTCGCAGGGATGGCCAAGGAATGGCGTCCCTAGACTCTCCGGGTCACCTCCTCCTGTGAGGCTCAGCCCGGTCCCCCTTCCTGTTCTTCCGAGAGGATTCCCGTCCCTCGTCTGCCACGTGGACCCGCCCAGCAGATCCCATCACTGAGATCAGCTCCCTGTGTGTGCCACGCATGTCACCAAGAGAGCCCGGCAGAAGGTTTGCTGCCCCTATTTCGAATGAACAATCATGTTGTAGTTGTGTACTTGTTGTTTCTAGAGAACACAGGTTCTCGCTGTATCTTACACACTCATTTGTTTTGTGGGTGGACCAGCTTGGTTGTTAAGCTTCCACACTTCGACACCAGGCAGCCAACGTTCTGAATCCCAGCTTTGCAAGTAGCCGCGGCCTTCCGCTGGGGTCCATACTGCGGTCAGTGTGAAGAAAGACCCCCTTTTCCTGCCACGCTGCTGCTTGCGCATCCAGACTGGAAACTTCAGGTTTGGGTGTCACAATTCCTAGAAACGTATCTTCGATGCGTATGGCCCTTCATGAAGGATACGTGGTGTGGGAGGCAGGCGGGTTTGCGGTGCGCTGAATCGTTCTAGACATATCTGCACCACATCAGACTGCCCACGCGTTCCTATCTAAAGCTGAAATGTTGTCCCCCAAGCCGCTGTGTCTCAACAGCAGCAAACAAACACAAAACAGACCATTTTAAGAAGTCAGTACAGTCACTGTGTCTCTTCTGGAGTTGACGTGCGATAGTTGCTTCTGACATTATTCAAACACCATACAGACGTTTGTTTACATTTTGGAAAACCCTCCAGAGTTTAAGACTTGGGTAATCGTAGGGCCGAAGGAAACAGATGGGAACACAATGCTGTTGCGGGTTTTGACTCAGGGTAAGTCATTGTTGGGCTCCCACTAGGAACTCCACGCTCTGCCAGGCCCTGGGATGGGAGGGAATGGAAAATGGACCTTCTGCTTTCAAAAAGTATGTTTGTGAGGAAGAGGCTTACATTCCAGCTATTCCGTGCAGGGCAATCTGTGTACAAGCATAGATTCATAGTCATCCTGGGGCTAAATATATTTACACATTTACATACGTCCTGGGGCAGATACTTAAACACTTTAAAATGGGCGCGGGGGGGAAGGTAAAAATGAAGGATTTTTGTAAGTATTTTCTCACCCATCACTACTGCCCTAGTAGTTTCTCCCCTTTTACAGGTAAGAAAACCGAGGCTCATAGATGCTAACTCGCTTCCCCGGGATCACTCAGTGCTCCAAAGCCAAGGCACCTGCCGCCTCATCAGGAAAGTGGGAGCAAGGGCGGTGCCGTCTTCTCCCTGCAACATCTGTGGGGATTCCTCATCAAGGTCACGTTTGCAGGGAAAAATATGTGTCAGCTGCTACCTTCCCATTAACGCCAGTTCCGAGAGAGCCTGACTCCACGGGGATAAAAGACAGAAGAAGTGGGAGCTGACGGTGGTGGCATTTTGGTCTTTTCCTTCCCTGAGAGGTGCTGCCGCTGACATGTGGGTCCAGAGTCTGTAACAGGGGCACTTCTCCCCGAGACCATGAGCTGAAGAGTGGAACGGGTCCCAGACTGAGCTGAGTGGGGGACGAAAGGTAAATCAGTGGGGCGACCTCCTGAGAACAAAGTTTTCCAGCCAGAAGAACAGACTGGGGAGGTCAGGCCCTCCCCGGTCGGGCCACAGGGTCACCTCAAGAGTGTGGCAAGGGTCCCGGCATGGAGACTCCTTGCCTATTCCTTGGAGAGGGCTCGTCTGTGGGGCAGAAATCCAGGGTCGCTGGGCTCGGTGGTGGAGTCTTTGCAGCCAGGCAGGCCCAGCTTCAGATTCCAGCTGTGTCCCGGGGAAGCTGCCCCCCTCCTCCCCAGCTCAGTCTCCCCATTCATTCAGCGGGGGGCCCAGAACCTCGTTCGCACAGTGACTGGGTCTCCGAAGAGAGAAGGTAAGAGGACATCGCAGGGCAGCCAGCACTAGGTGGGTGGCTGCTGCGACCTTCTGTCAGTGTCATGTCCCCAGTGCCTCTGCCATGTGCTCCTCTGTCAGCCCCAGCTTGGCCCATGGCCCTTTCCTCTTCTTTTTTAAAAAATTTTATTTTTATTATTATGTTCAATTAGCCAGCATGTAGCTTCTTGTTCTAAAGAGCAGGTAAGAAGGTAAGCGCTCCGGAAGAAAGCCGGCGGGTGTCAGTGAAGGCAAACAGCCCTGGGCGGGGAGGGCTCCGTGGGAGTAGGGGAGGGGCCCAGCTGTGCAACCTGGGGAGAAAGCCGTCGCGTCTCTGGGCCTCCATTTCCCCAACTTTTACCCTGGGGATCATCTTACTGACCTCGATTTTGAAGAAGTATCTGCCTGGGGACCGGTGGGTCCGGGGTGCAGGGTGGCTGGGCTGTAGGGAGGCCCCACTGAGAACCCAGCAGCGACGAGCTGGGCAGGACCCACGTCTGGCCTGAAGACCGACTACTGGCGCTTGTGTTCTAGATTCAGAGGTGCCGACGGCCGGGAGTCCTTGAGTCCTCGGAGTGCAAGGCCATGGCTCAGAAGAGCCCCGCAGTCCACACCAACAACCTGCCCTACGGAGACCTGGCCTCCGAGGTGACCAGGCGCAGAGTCACCATGGCCACGGGGTAGGTGAGCGCTGTCCCGTGCGCAGGGGCGCAGGGGCGAGGGGTGGGGGGCGGATCCCACCCGCCGCCGCAAAGCGCTGCAAACCTGGTGCGCTGCGCTCAAGCCTGTGCACCTGTTGCTTCAGGGCGGATGTTATGGGTGAGAAACCGCCTTGTCCCCCATGTCGAAGCCGACTTCTGTGGCCTTTCAGCAGGCGGGGAAAGCGGCGCGGGGATGGGCTTCAGATCTGGGGCTCTTCGTCGGGGGTGGGGGTCGCGTGCGGCTCTGGACGCAAGGGGCGATGCGCTCCCCCGGATGGAAACGCGGGACTTTGCAAAGTCTGGGCACAGCCTGGTTCCCAGCGGCCGGGAGCTCCCCGCAGGCAGCCCTGTCCTCTCCTTCACCGCGGCCTGGCGCCCAGCACGGGCCGGCTCGGACCCCCACCCCACTGCCCGACACCCTCCCCTGACGGTGGGCTTGGCGCATACAGTACAGGGGACCTGGTGC